TCACATAATCTGCTAAATCTGAAAATAACAAGGGGAAGTATGTGGTTGTACATCAACAAGACAGTCAGATAGATGTTATTAGAATTAGCATTAGTGTATAATACTATTAGAAACGGCATAAAGCTGCTCACCCAGAAGGATATGATTATCACAACAACCAACTGGAAAGCACAAGACAGACCTTTTAAGCTTATTTTCATTATGGCTTCTCGATAAGGCTGGAATAGTGCCTAGAATGGCTTCTAAAGTCTAATCTCACATTTATAAAGTTGGTGAATTAGAAGGAACAGACTTTTCAGGGCCAACTCAACATTTGTTGAATCCTTTCCTGCTGTCTATTGTTTTAAGTCTCTGCTGGGCTAGGATGAACTAGTTGTAATTATGTGAGTTAATCTCTTGACTGTAGGCCTTTGCACATCGTTTACAGACTTCTTTAAATACCCCTAGCTTCCTCAGTCCAATATCTTTACTCCTTAGCCTTTGTTTCTCTTTAAGTTTTCCTATTTCCTCACTCTAAGACTGAATATATTATCCCTCCCCTGTGCTGCCGTTGTGCATTCAGTGATTCCTGACACAGAAATTTTTATTGTGAAAGTTGTGATTGTGAAAATTGAAATCATCTATTTGCAGCTGTCTCCCTTACATCTGTTTATCCCAGATATTTGGTCTTCATCATTGATCTTTAGCTTCCAGTATGAAGTCCACCACAAAAGCACCAAGTGTTCAAAAAATGTTGGTTGAATAAGTACTTGTGACGTCATCCCATAGGGCTCCAATTTAGAATATCCTCACTACATTAGCTGCTCTGTGGGGTTCTCAAAATAATAGACACAATCTTAGAAATTAGTGCAGAGTTAATCAAGCAAAAAGGATATAAACATGCATCTGAATCTGCTGTCTTGCTTTTGCTAAGGGAACAGACTCACCATGTGCTGTTTTCCTCAAGTTTCTTACCCATGACAATTACCCAGCAATATGACCCTGTCTTTGACTCACGGCACATGATTACATCTAAATAGTAAAGACAGTACTAGACTCATGCAAACTTTCCATTTCCATCATAGCTTTTCTTTCACTGCAGGGTGTTTCTGCTGAAATAGAACCAAGCTTTTTATACGAATAGAGGATCAATTTCTCACTGAAAATGATGCAGGCTGACAGAGGGGTGGAATACATACGTTGTTCATAAAGCTGCCAAACAGTCATACTGTGATTGCTCCCTATTTCTTCCTTCCTTCTACAATCTTAAGAATACAGCTCTGCTTTCTTGAGGGTGTTAAGGCATTGTATAACTACTTTCCAAGTTTCTCCAACTAAAGTCACTGGAATGAGAAGTCTTGCATCTGAGCTAGTCCCCCTCGATCCACTGGCGTCTGTTCCTTGTCTAATAGAAGGAATGAGGAGGCAGTGATGAGTTCTGCTTCCCTACAAAGTCTCCCCAGCACACATGACCAGAACGTATAACCCTCACGAGCTTCTGCATTACTCAGTTGCCTCTTCCTCAGGACATACCATCAATGATGTGGCATGAAGCTAATTAGATTCAGTTAGGGCTAGAAGAAGGGAAAAGGCACAGTTGTCCAACCCGCACTGAGGGACTAGGAAGAGAGATAATAGCAGGGTGTTTCAGAGAATAGCATAAGAGACCCTGTTTTGCTTTATTTTTTTTCCAAATCACATACACAAAATGCTAGAATTCTATATCCTTGTTTTAGAAGAAGCTTCCTTCTCCAACTATCCATTCTAAAAATGTTTTTAAAATCTTATACTCTAATTTTCATTCTGCTTCCTTAGCCTCAATGCTGAACTACAGGAAGCCTTTCTCTATAGGGGACCAGCCCCATTGAGATTACAACAAAGTGACATATTACAGCAAACTCATGAAGCTAGTTCACTGCATCACATTTTGTGCAGTACATTTCCAGTTTCTTTTTTCCTATATTTCTCTATGACCAACAATATCCAAAAGTGCTTTCTGTGTTGTTTTTTAGCTTTCTGTTACAGTGGCTATTGACTTTGTTTTTAGTGTAAGACTTTTATATGCCTGTAAATCTTGACTCTAGACAGAATTTCTTATGTACCCCCAGATTTATAATGCTGAAGATTTACACTAAGAAGATAACTGAATTGAAGCTGCTTAAAGCCTTTCTTTCCAGGATCCCTATGCAAATCTGGTTATCGTCAGTTTAGTGCTCCATCTCCTTGTGTTTCATGAGATTCATGATGTTAAATGAGATTCTTTCTATTCTGCAAATACATGTCAAGGTCCAAAATCTGAGAACACTTGGATTCAAATAACCATTCATTTTGTTACTGGGAATTTTGCATTGGGATTTTTTTTTTTTTAACCCAAAGAGATTAACAAACCTGGAGCTCTGGATCAGAAATTTTGGTTTTTGTGATAGTGAGGGAAGAATTGCAGACTAACACCAAAACGAACACTTAAAGCAAAGTTTATCGAAGCACAGAAATATACTGTTAAAGGAAAGCAGGCTGATTTCTGTGAAGTGAAATCAACACCTCTTTACAAAACTTCAGTTGTTTATATGCGGTTTCTGGGGAAGAGCTGAGGTTTGAGGTGTGTCTGAATGGCAAGATAGTGTTGTTTGATTGGTAGTTTATGGTTATATAACTAAAGCTAAACTGTACATGTTCCTACCCATTAAAGCCTACAGTTGGCGGGGCATTGGGAGTGTGTGTAAAGTCCATGTAAATTTTATTATAATAATAATACAATAAGCTTGGAGTGACCGCAAGGACATGGTTTTATGTTATTGGGTATGCCTCACTTTAGGGGATTTCCACCTGTGCCCTAGTTTCTCCTTTCACAGTACATGTTGTCCTCAGGCTTTACCACAAACCTCATTTGTTAGGGTGAAGTTCCGGCTGTTTGGGGTTGAATTCACGAGGGCTAGAGGCTGTCTTAGTGACAGCCTTTCTGCTATCCTTTTTTATCCCCTCCCAGCTGCTAATGTTTCTTTAACCACCTCGCCATTTCATAGCAAAGTGCTGGGCCAGCTTTTACAGAAATAAATTAAATTCGTAGGCCATTGCAATTCAACGAAGCTGGCACTTATCAGCCTCTATTATTTTAGGAAAACATTTTAATTATAATTCCTTTCTTACCAATAAACTATTTTATTTATTGTGATAAAAAAGTCATAACACAACTGTCATAGCCATTTATTAACATATAGTTCAGTTGTGTTAAGTATTATGTTGCAAAAGTAATTGCAGTTTTTGCCATTACTTTTAATTGATGCACTTACAGTTTGATAATTTCTTTTTCACAGTTAAGGGAGGATTTTTCTGGGATAGCTGGGCCACTGAGTAGCCTACGTACACTATTCAGGTTTGGGATGTAGCGCATCAAGCATGTCCCCTGGTAGAAATCACTCTTTTCTAGGAAGCAAGATATCTGGAACCAAGATACCTAAATTTTTTTTTTTAGGTATGGACAGCACAAATTCCCTCCACCCCTAAAGAAATAACTACAAGTGATAGTAAGTAGGACCAGTAGTCTCTTTACCCTGGTCTCCGAACCTGTGTATTAGACCTGTTGGTTACACCCCAACTTACAATAACTGTGAGTTTAACTTGTTTGCTACAAGCTGGAGAATGGTATCCCATTCACATAGAGGAGCATGTCTAAACTGGTCATTCAGTTACATTTTTAAAAGTCTACTTCACAGCTCTCTTTGGGCACCAAATTTTAAATGCTCTGGTATATGGTAGAATCAATGGAATCCTAGTCACGTGATTTTAAATTCATTCTATATTGTGTAAATGATGAAACCCATCCACAAGAATAGGGGGAAAAAAGGTTATATTGGGAGGAAGACATTGATGCCATGCCATGCCATGGTCCTAGCGGCCAGAAGAGAAGGAGTTAACTGAAGAGTTGTATCTTTAATGGAGGATTTTAAGTTTTCCTCCAAATTTGGCTGCACAATCAAGTAGGACAGTCCCTTGTTTTCCTGTTATTGTGAAGGGCAGAGAGATATCATGCCTGATCAGAGTGAGCTCCTGTCAGGTCATACAAGACTGTGGTTTCTATTTCCCTCATATCCAAGTAAATGTAAGAGCCAAGACAAAAATCAGTTGGAATCTAAATCACTTCTATGCTTTATTTAGGTGGGCAAGTATCATGTTGCTTAAGATTCACACTATACTCCTGTAATTGTCATGTGATTATTATTCCAATATTATTAAAGAGTAGTAAAGGTGAGTAAGAGGTTAAACACTCCTGATGAAGTATGTATAGATTCAAGAAAATTAAAGGAATGTGCAGCACTGAATAAATCCTCCAGTACAGTGGATTAATGTCATATCTTTAGGTGTGTATTAGATCTTGCTTCCTCCTCCAGTGTAGTTTAATGGACACAAAGTCTCCCACATGCAAAATCCAATATTAAAGTCGATAAACTTTGAATATGTAAATGCTTCGATACCCCCCGTCACTCCTGCAAATGGTAAAAGGAAACATTAAGCTAGGAATTACTTTCTGCTTTTATAAATGGAATCTGAAGAGGTTTAGTTTGAGCACTGTTGGTGCAAAGTGAGGGTTTAGTTTGAGCATTGTTTGTGCAGTGAGACCTGGCACCCAAGTAACAAATTAAAATTCCTCAATTAAAACAGATAATCTCTGACAAGTGTTGTGTGTTAAGGGGGGTAGTTTTTGAGGTATGGCGTAACCACAGTGTTCATACATATGCCTTCCTTATACTAAACCAGATGTGTTGAGAGTCAGAAGGGACCAAACGAGCTTACTCTTGTTAAGGTATTTCCCAATTGGATCTCCAGAAGAAGTGATATGCTTTTGAAGTATTGAACGCGAGATTAAAATAACACCAAGACAAAAGTATGCCAAATTGCAGGGTCTTTATTGCCTGTGGCCGCAGAGGACTCACGTCTCTCCAACCTGTAGCCCCAGGCACAGGGAGAGAGGGGTTTTTAAGCTGAAAAACCACATCCTGGTTTTAGGAGCGAGAGGGTGAGGGGCAGGGGTGCGGCTGAAGGGATTCAGACATTCTGAGGGACAGGGGATTCCATAAATCACCTCCTGGGCAGAGATGAGGGTGGGGGTCTCCAGACATTCCAAGGGCTAGGGGACTTTTTGTCACTCCGATTGTTACCTAAGTGGTTTACAGAAGTCAAGATAAGCATTAGTTTACACATTGTCTGGGTACTGGTGGAAATTACAGATCTTAGTTACTTATTGCAAGTCACAAGGGCCAAGACGGAATTAGCTTGGGCTGCTTATTCTGGTACTGATAAGAAAAGGTAAGCAGCTTTACATAGTGGGCATTTTTCAGAGCAAGCTAGCAGCTTTATTTACAGAAGCCAAACACAGCTTTACCTTATAAAATGGCGTTGCTCAGGTTCTGGCTCTAGGCCCGCTATAGCACACGTTTTCCCAGTAATCTCCTTTGCAAGTCACTGAACCTGTTCTCTAAGGGAGTCAGAGCAATGAGTATGTGTAATGTCAGTGTGAGGGATAAATAACCAAAATCTAGAGCTGAAAGGGTAGAAATAAGTGAAGCAGCATAGCCTGAACCAGCCTGGACATGAGGCACAGAGGACTAACCTGGGTCTCTCCAAGAGCAGCCTGAGACACTGTAGACTTTTATAAACTCAAAAATATGCAATACTAGAATTGCAGTATAATAGCCTAATTTGAGACACTTTCTTCCCATTGATCTATTCTGCAAATTAAATGACCTGTAATTTCAGTTTTCCCTTTAAGCCGCATGTTCCAGGTACAATAAGACTGAATTGAGGGTATACTTTTCTCAGGTGATGCACCTCTAATTCATCTTGAAGAAAGTGACATCACAGCCAGCTCAACAAGGGAGTTCCATTGTTGTTCATGAGTAGTTCTAAAAGCTTGTCTTTATCCTGTCTGTTTCTATGCTCAATAATGTCCTAGGTGCTTTTATTTTGCCTTATTTTTACTGTTTTTGCACAGTGACTATTCTATTCTATTCTAGTATTCCCCAAAGCTATGAATCTTATCTCTCAAGGACCATTGTTCCTGTGTTCCCAGGTTTTTCCTAACTGAAAAATTTACATGGAATAAGTTTCTTAACTGGAACTAATTCAAGTCGGTGTTTCTCAAACTCAGAAGGACTGGTCTATCTTCAGGTTTGTGGTCTTTCACCAGTCTCTATTTAGCAAGGTGTTAAAGTTAAACTCTTTCCGTATGAGAATTTTCAGTAATCCCAAAGCTGAGTATACTATGGGTCAAAAACAAACTTTCTAAAATAAGATGTTAAATCACTGGTTCTGGAGTTAAATTAATAGAATATTTAAAAAGTCATTTTCATCAAGGCTCATTAAACTCCTTTATTATAAGAAACCATTTTAATAGTTATTCTTTTATCTGTTCATATTTTTGTGGATTAGACTTATGGAATATAATTTTACAAAATTTTTTTCCTTGCGGCATTTACAAATCATGGAAGCTGGAAGTAGAACTTCAAATTTATTTATTTTTCCTCCACTGAAAATAACATAAATCATGTTTTAGAGCAAAAAAACTAACTAGCTTTACATTCTGTATTTCTAGACTCACATCTTTATATCCTCATTTTAAAAAATGAGAGAGACAAGGAAAAAAGGAAAATATCTAGGGTAAGAGAGTGAGAGACAGAGAGGGAGACACTTTTTGGATCTAGGTAACTGAAGAAGGACTGCTTTTATTTGGTCTTAGGTCATATGCTCACCTTTTCTCTAAAACAGTATTTATGAGTCAGAAAGTATGGGACTACTATAATTGTCTCAGATTAAGTTCTTTTCTTGAATCTGCCAAGTTTAATTTTAAGAGTTCAAAAAATTTTAATATTATTGCACATACTGTTAGAGTTATAATGTATCTTTCAGCTCTAACTATTGTATGATTAGATTTTACAAGATAAACCAATGGCAATTTAGCTAAGGTTTATATTTATCTAGCTGCTCTTGTTGTTATATATGGCCAAAAAATTAAGTATGCACATAGAAAAATATATATGCATGTGCACACAGAAACACAAAGATGAGTATTTTGATTGTGAAAACAACATTGTGTTAAATATACATATATATATTCAAAAAAAGAAAAAAGAGAAAAATGAGGAATTAAAAAAACAATTTTTAATTAAGAAAACAAGCTTCTTCCTTCACAGAGTTACTCCTAAGACAGGCTGTTTTATGTTTTAAGCATACTATACTATTTTTTTGTTTACATTTCCACTGTAAAGGGAATGCACTGTATTTATTGGGAGCATCAAGGAAACCTCTACCAATGATGAAGGAGGAACAAATCTGGGTTTCCAAAGCCCAATGTGGAAGAAGTTGACTTTCTTCCTGTCTCATGCCACACAGTCTCCTGCCTCAGCAAAAATGAAGGAAATGCCAACAGTTAAATCCGCAAGAAATGCATGTCTTTTCAATGTTGGTTTTCCCCATTGGATGCTTAATTGGATGACTGTTATATTGAAATCAACCCAATAGTCTCATAGACAGTTTTTTTCTTACAAACATAGAGATTGTCCCTTGTGGTCTTAGGGCTTGAAACTTACATTTGTTTTACCTTAGTTCCTTCCTCAAGAAAGGACCCCCAGGCCTCTCAAAGAGTATCAAAGAACTGAAACTCACCAGAGTAATCTATTCAGTCAATGGGACACCAGGCCCCTCATTAATCATGATTGTTTCTTTACTCCTCCCTAGTTCCTGTTTTTCCGCACATAGTTACATTTCTTCCCTACTAGTAAACCCTTAATTTTAGTTGGTCAAGGAGATGGATTTCAGACTGAACTCCCATTTCCTCAGCTGTAGCACGCAGCTAAAGCCTTCTTCCCTGGCAATCTTCATCATCTCAGTGATTGGTTTTATGTGAGGTGAGCATCAGGGGTTAGACCAAACCCCTAGTGTTTTGTTATCAATATCTTGTTTGATTTTTCAGCTACTAAAAAGAACATTTCATTTGAGGGGAGCCAGACACAGGAGAGCTGAAGGGGTTAGCAAGGACAGCTAAGAACTTGCGCCCTGGCTGCAGGTTCCGTACCAGGGAAATTCATATCTGTTACAGAAACGCAGGTCCTGCTGCTCACCACACAGAAAGCCAATTATCGAGACAATGATTATTGCCAAGGAAAAAAGCTTTAATGGGGTGCTGAAGCCAAGGAGATGGGAAATCAGTCTCAAATCAATCTCCTTGACCAACTAAAATTAGGGGTTTATACAGCACGGAAGAAATGTAACCATGTGTGAGAAAACAAGAACCCGAAAGGAGTAAGGAAGCCATCAGGATGAATGAGGGGCCTGGCATCTCATTGTCTAGATGCCATGATCTGCTGAGTTCAGTTCTTTGATACTTTTTGAGAGGTCTTGGGGTTCTTTCCTGAGGAAGGAAGTCATATAAAGCACACAAGTTTCAAGCTTTAAGACCAGAAGGATCAATTTCTATGTTTCTCAAAAAAAACCTGTCTATGGGACTATTAGATCAGTTTTAGTCCCCCCTTTCTATTGATCAATTCCTCAGTATGGGGGATCTGGTCACTGACCTTTCTGGCTGCTTCCTGCTGAGGAAGGGCATCACGGACAGCACCCTCCTCAGGGTGACTACATGGCCACCCAAGAATCAAAGGTTAACTCAATACTATAATTTTCTTCTAAAACACGTTTTTTCTCTCTCCAGTCCCCTACTTCCACCAAAGACAAATCACAGCAGGACCAACCTACCTGCAAAATAAATTTCAGACTCATATAGTTGGTCTGATTACCCACACAAAGTGCAGCAAGAATCATTGTCCACATAAGCTCTCCTAAATTGGCTTTGCTAAAACCTCTCACAAGGCCATTTCAGTCAAAGCCCTGGGAAAATAACCAGTTCCTCCAACTGTGTCCCATTATAAAACAGGTTCTTATTAAACATATATAAACAAACACATTGCCACAAATTAAGAAAATTTACAAATAGTTCAATACACATAAAGTATGTTTGAAGGCTATAAATAGTGCAAAAGAAAAAAATTCTCCAGACTGAAAAACAAAAGAAAAAGAATTAGCAATATTTCAAACAAAAAAGTCATGAGAATTATTTCAGTCCTTCAGTTATTCCATTCATGCAATCAACTCTTGCTCTGCTTCATATTGGGTTAGCAATGTGTTTGAACATATTAGCCTTTTAATTTGAGTCCAGCAAGTTTTCTCTCTAATCCAGTGGCACCATCTCCAAAGCTATCAGAAACCTGCATTTAAGAGTCATTTTCATGAACTTCTCCCAAAGAAGTAAGCCCCAGACTGCAGCTGATTATAAGTCACTTTTTGAGAGGAATCAAAGCAAAACAAGTGTGGATTACAAAAGCCTTAGGACAACCATAGTGAAACACACAGTTGACAAGGAACTTTAGTTATTTCTGTGGTGTACAATATCTAACATAATAATCATAATTGTTACTGACAACATATGTTAATACATCAGAATTTCAGGAATGCCATATAATCTTGGAACACATATTAACAACACATATACATCAATATAACCCAAAGTTAAATACCACTTTAAATTTGACAATGCTTCCTGTATAATTCTAACATAAATAAACCTAATATGTCTCTCTTGGACTTCAGGAAACCTAATATCCAAAAAAAAGTTAGTTTAAGGTAAAAAAGACAGAATTTGAACTTGAAATTTTGCTGTTGGAAAGTCTATCAAATATCAAACGTTTAAGACACTTGATATCAGAAAATAGGATCACAAGCTAGCATAAAACAGTCATTCATTTTGCAAAATACATGTGGTATTTGGTTTTCTATTCTTGTGTCAGTTTGCTGAGAACGATGGTTTCCAGATTCATCCATATCCCTACAAAGAACATGAACTCATTGTTTTTTATAGCTGCACAGTAGTCCATGGTGTATATGTGCCATGTTTTCTTTGCCCCAGTCTATCATTGATGAGCATTTGGGTTGGTTTCTCTTAAAGAACAGATCAGTGCTCCAGGAAAACCCTGTTATTCTGACACAAGGCCTAGATGCTGGCCTTGCATCAGTGTGCTTTTGATATTAATGTTTAACTTACAGAAAAACTCTGAACTCATCTTATCCCTCAAAATCAGC